AGCAATGGAGTAAAGATGGAAACCTATAAATCGAAGCTCCTTGACTTGAAGAGATTCCGGGCCTGCAAAAGAGAGAGAGATTTCCACAATCACAAAATAACAAATGTACCAACCATCAAAAATTGGAAACAACAACAAACAGAATGAATCCCCAACGTTTACTTAGTGACTCAAAAACTTACCGATTCTTCTTGTGGTGGCATAGAAAAATGATGTAAATCAGACACACCAGAAAAAGATTATTGTAATCTAAGCATAATAGGTTCACAAAAAACAGAAACAAAAAAAAACTAACGGGAAGATTTAGTAGAGTGGAATAAGAAATAAGGGAACAAAAGAAACTCCACCTAAACTGGATGTAAACCAAATCTCCCATTCCCGAACCCCTCCACCTGATGATTACGTGCATTCCTTCAACAAAATATAGCAGAGCTACCATAGAGATGACATTGAAAATGGAAATGATCCTAAGCCTAATCCTAACCCTAACACAGTATGAAAATGATCCTAACCATAACACAAAATGGAAGAAGGGAGGAAGATGCATTGCAGTATAGGAACGATGGATCATTTCAATTGAGTGGATTAAGAACCCTGACTTGAAGAAATCAATGAAAACCTGAATCAATAATAAATAAAAGTCTGAATCATCACCTTTTAAAGAAATCAATTTTGGGGAGGGGAGTAGAGACCGTGTCAGAGATGAAGAGGCGGAGATGAATGTAGGAAACGAAGCGTCAACAGAGAAAAGCATTCATGAGTTGTGCATAATGCATATCTTTAAGATATTTAAGACTTTTTATACTTTATGCATTAATTTATAGTACTTTATGCATTAATTTATAGTACTTTATGCATTATGATTTGTTTTTAAGACTTTTAAGACTTTGTGCATTGAAAGATAGAACCTTATGCATTTAAGGTTGTTTTTAAAACTTTTATGAAATATGGTTTATAAGGTAGTATAGATATGGACAAAGAGGTTATCACTTGAGCTAAAATTCTGCCACAAGGCAGATAAAACATCAAGAAAAAGAATTATTTTGATAATAATTTACTTGATATTTTGTATTTAAACCATCTATTTGATTTTCATTGTCAAATGCATGCTTAAACGACTATAATATATTGTATGAGCATAAATTATATTATATTATATTATATTATATGTTCTCTTAATTTGATTGTATCAAAGTCATACTAAATTCCATTAAGTATAACAAAAAGAGTATGTTTCTTAAAACACAACTTCTTAAAGTAGGTTCTCTACATACAAACAAAATACATTACACCTTTTTCGATTAGAAATGGAGTTTCTTTTAGCAAAGCAATAGCCTTTTCTTCTTCTTTCGGATGTCTATAAAATACAACTCTTTATGGGAATATTTAGTTTCGAATTTGTATATTTGTTATTTATATGTTATATACAAGATATGAATGGTATAAAATTTTCAAACTCAGATTGTCTCATGCGAGGGAATGGGTGATGGTGGGGTGTTGGTCATATATGTATATAGTAGGCTAGTAAAACACAATTGGAATAGTAAATGGGTAGGAATTTGATCCATGTTCCATCACCTTTACATGGAATGATGAAATTCGTGAACAATTCAATTCGATTTCATCAGTTAAATGGATTTTTTTTAACATAATTGACGATTATAATTTCTTTAGATTCCATAAAAATCATCAATATAACAAAATCGAATTTATACGACACTATATAATATCAAGTATTTTAATAGGCCGTTTTACATGATTTAATTTATAGGACCACAAAATAAATCATCCAAAGGCGTTATAATAAGTTTATATGTCAATTTTGGGCGTCTTAACAAGTATTTTAAAACATTTTTGATACAAAACGTCTCATTAGCAATTTTATAGGACACTATTTTCTATAAAAAGATGAGTTTATAAAATACTTTCTCAAAAGTGTCCTATAAAATTGTCAATCCGACACTTTGTAATAAAAAATTCCTAAAAACTTGTTTTAAGATGCCCAAAAGTGTCCTATAAACTCATTACAATGTTTTAAATAAGGTGTTATATATTTGGTTTCTATAAATCAAGTCCTATAAGGCAGTCTATTATGATGCTTAGAAATTGATAACGTCTTATAAATCCAATTTTGCTGTAGTGAATGTTAACCAAACGCCACCTTAGTAATTAACCAGGCGTTGGATTTTTTAATAATACAGGTTTTTATTTCCATAACTTGCCAGGTTGTTCATTTTTACGGAACATAGTTCTTATACATTTTCTCAATAGTGATGGTGATGACTGTTCAACATGGTTGTACACTACAAAATAAAATGAATTACTAGGGGATCTTGTTAAAAAGATGGATGGAAAATAATTTTATGGGATCCTCAAGTTTGGTGGTTTAGCATCATTTCCCCGTTAATTTAGGAGAGCAAATATCCGATTTCCATTCTTCTCTAATTGACAGCCATTCATAGTTGTTTTCCATATTTAGATCATTGTAAATCTGTATTTATAGTGGCTGTCTTCTTCTTCTTTGTAATATAACTTTTACACAGAATATTACAAACGTTCCCAAACAATCACCTCTTGTTAACATGGTATSAGAGCAGGTTTGCTCATCATATACCGTTTAACTTCTTTCATCCTCCCAACCGAGTCACCATGTCTGAAAATGTCTTTGGTTCTGATTTATCACTACAACTCGCAAACTTGTTGAAAAATGGCCTTAATCCCCAGCCTCAAAACCCAAAACTTTCCGATAACCTCCAAATCAATCTCAAACTCAACAACCAAAACTATGCTCTATGGACCCGAATTATCCGAGTTGCCATAGGCGGAAAATTCAATCCCCTGTTCTACACCATGGTCCAAACCCAATTTCAGAAAAACATTCAAGTTTTTCTATTCGACAATGGAGGAGAATATGTTAACTCTGATATGAAACTCTTTTTTCAAACTAAGGGAATAGTTCATCAAACCACTTGCCCTCATACTCCAGAACAAAATGGAGTCACAGAACGGAAAATCGCATCCTATTAGAAATCACTCGGGCTCTTCTAATAGAATCACAAGTTCCAAAGTTTTTTTTGGCCAGAAGCTTTTGTTACTACCGCATATCTTATCAACCGACTTCCCACTCAAATTCTAAAATCTAAAACCCCTTTGCAAATTCTCACAGAGTTTACCAAACCTCCATCCGTTCTTACTCTTGAACCACGAATCTTTAGGTGCACTGTATTTGTTCACATACCTAAATCACACAGATCCAAAATCAACCCATTTTGCTGATAAATGTGTCTTTGTTGGGTATGGAATCACTCAAAAGGGATACCGATGTTATAATCCAAAAACCCGACACATGTTCATTACTATGAACTGTGACTTTCTTGAAACTAAGTACTACTATGCATCCCAAAACAGTGGTCAGGGGGAGAGAAAATATATTGACACTGACACGCTGAGTTGGTTGACATATGTAACATATGAAGAAGGAAGGAGCCACAGTTCACAAAATGAGTCTCCTTTATCCACACAACCCGAAGACCCAAACGTTGGTGCCACCTAGAAAACTGCTCCTAACCTGATACCCGAGGTAAGTAATACTCACTCTTCATTTATACCCGAACCCATTAATAACACAATAGGGCAAGGTGAGAGTGTACATGAACAAGAAAGGTTCACCACTCAAGAAGATGCACCAGCAGGGCAAAGTGAACATATGGAAAAGCAAGAGATCTTTGAGAATTTTCCCACACAAGAAGACACATCGGGAAGATATGTACTACCACCAAGAACAAATCGGGGAGTTCCACCGAAAAGGTATTCCCCAGAAAAGGAGTCCAGAGGAAGCAGATATCCAATGGCTAACATAGCCAAAGAAAATTTATCCGAGAAAGCCAAGGCGTTTGCCTCATCTCTGTATTCTGAGGAAATCCCTACTAATACAGAACAAGCCTTAAAATCAAAGCAATGGAAAGATGCAATGGAAGAAGAAATGAAAGCACTTACAAAAAACAACAAATGGGAAAAACGTGTCTTGCCTCCAGGAAAGAGAACTCTCAGGTGTCGGTGGGTTTTTACAATTAAATACAAACAAGATGGTACAATTGAAAGATACAAAGCGAGATTGGTAGCTAAAGGCTATACACAAACATACGGAATTGATTACTCTGAAACTTTTTCYCCGGTTGCAAAAATGAATACAATCAGGGTTCTCCTTTCTGTAGCAGCAAATAAAAGATGGCCCTTATATCAGTTTGATGTAAAGAATGCTTTCTTACACGGAGAACTAAAGGAGGAGGTTTATATGGAAGCTCCACATGGATTCACGGACCAGTTTGGAAAAAGAGAAGTGTGCCTCCTGAAAAATCTCTCTATGGGTTAAAACAGTCCCCTAGAGCATGGTTTGGGAAGTCCACTTTGGCCATGCAAAACTATGGGTTTAAACAAAGTAACTCAGATCATACTTTGTTTCGTAAACGGAGAGGCAATCTCATAACCTGCCTAATAATCTATGTCGATGATATGACTATTACAAGAGATGACATAGAAGAAATATTCAAACTGAGGAAGAACTTGTTCACAGAATTTGAAATGAAAGATCTGGGGAGACTCAAATATTTCATTAGGATGGAAATTCTAAGATCAGAACAGGGGATCTTCATGCACCAAAAAAAGTATGTCCTCGATTTACTAGCTGAAACCGGTATGGTTGATTGCAAACCAGCAGACACTCCGATGATTGTGAATCAAAAGCTTTATATGGAAGAAAAAGCAGACCTTGCCGACAAAAGAAGATACCAACGAATGGTATGAAAATTGATATATATCTCACACACCCGACCTGATATAGCATATGCTGTAGGAGTGGTAAGTCAGTTTATGCATCAACCCCAAAAGGCTCACATGGAAGCATTCTTAAGAATTATAAGATATCTCAAGGGAACGACAGGGCATGGAGTCTTGTTCAAACCAAACGAGCATCTTGAAACACGACTGTATACCGATGCAGATTAGGCGGGAGATAAAGGCAACCGTAGATCCACCGCAGGATACTTTACTTTAGTTGGTGGAAATCTCGTTACGTGGAGAAGCAAGAAACAAGAGGTGGTGGCCCTTTCAAGTGCATAAGCTGAGTTCCGGGGAATTGCAAGGGGGATAACTGAAATGCTATGAGTACGAAGGCTCCTAACTGAGATAGGATATCCACCACAAGAAACTAGCAAAATTATGAGTGATAATGAGGCAACCATTCAAATTTCAGAAAATCCAATACAACATGATCGAACAAAGCATATAGAGGTTGATCGACACTTCATCAAAGAAAAATTGGAAGCAGATATCATCACACTTCTGTTTGTTCGATCAGAAGACCAACTTGTCGATATGTTGACAAAAGTTGTTAATAAAAGAACCTTGCACGAGTGTCTGGGCAAGTTGAATTTTGGAAATCCCACTGTTCAACTTGAGGAGGAGTGTTAAAAAGAAGGTTGGAAAATAATTTTATGGGATCCTCAAGATTGGTGGTTTAGCATCATTTCTCCGTTAATTTAGGAGAGTAAATATCCGGTTTCCATTCCTCTCCAATTGATAGCCATTCATAGTTGTTTTCCATATTTAGATCATTGTAAATCTGTATTTATAGTGGCTGTCTTCTTCTTCTTTGTAATATAACTTTTACACATAATATACAAACGTTCCCAACCAATCACCTCTTGTTAACAGATCTAACAGCCGGAGAAAACGTGGCCAATTGACAATCACAGTGGCATATCAGCCCGATAATTTGTGATCCGCTATAAACCCATCGATGAAACCCCTTTGTTTTAGTGTTACCTTGACAGTTGACACCAAAGAAGAGTTTTACTCAAAGTAACTAGTTTGCAATAAAAGGCAAAAGCCAGGTTTTAAAAAGTCGATGCTTTGTATAAGTTTTGTGATGGATTTTAGTTTTTCCGACCCGCCGATGGACACTTAACTTGTCAATAAAGAATCTATGTAAGAAAGTAAAATGAAGCATAAATATAATAGCCGAAACAATGGATGGCCGGCTGTAAGTTCTCATACTACAATGTGAACCTGGATCGTCCAATCAAAATACATCTCACAAATCTAGGTATCCAAATCTTCATTTGGCTATAAATGCCAACCTTAACAACTCGAATCACATATCTTTTATCAATATCTTTCTTGTCTTAAAAAAAAACCGACAACTTGAAACCATGGTCAAGAACGCTTCCATGTTTGTGAAAATGGCCACAATACTCTCACTTTTACTAATGTTTGTTGTATTGGCAGAAAGCAGATCAACACTAGTTGGTAAGTCATCCTAATAGTGATAGCCGGGTCTTGGTTATCACTTGAGGTAACTAATACGTGATTATTATTTATTATATGTTTAAGTGATAGCATGATAAATTGGTATATTTGATTATGCAATTATATGGATTGTATGCATATTGTGAATATGCACGATTAAAAATATGATTGTATGCATTAGTTTAATATGCATAAGTATTATATGCATGCATGATATATGGAATATGTATGTATGCATGCATGAGGCGGTCAAACCGCCTTTCCTATTAAGGAAAGGGGTATAAATAAGGAAGGAGGGTTTCAAAAATAAGTTTTCTACTTCTTTGGAAAAATTGAGAAGTCTTGTTCGGATTGCTTATTAACTGGACATTTGAAGTTGGAATCAAGAAGTTGGATTCAAATTTGGTTTCAAAAAGAATTGCATAAGGTGAGTGGTTAAATGTTTTTAAAAGCATTTTGAATTTGCATAATTGAATTGAGTTATGAACCATCACCGGACTTGGTTATAAATTGGACATGTATTGTCCGGATTTGTTATAAACCGGACGCAGTATCATCCGATTTAGAGGAAATCGATCATAGCATTAATCGGATTAGCATGTTGATGAAATTCTATCTTTGAAAACCGGATAAAAGTTTTGAACGGAGAAGTAGGAATACGATTAAAGGTTGTTCGGTTTAGTTATAAATTGGTCGATATATTGTTCGATTTAGAAATAAAATTGATCAAGGGTTTACCCGGTGTAGTATAAATCGATTGCACTTTGATCGGACTTGTTTGAATGTTGTCCGGATTGATAAATCGGACAAGTTAATATTGAGTTGTCTAGATTTGTAAACCGAATAAAGAATCTTGTGTTGCCCAGATTTATAATCCGGCTGAGTAGGACAGTGTTGTCCGGATTAGTATATCGGTCAAGATTTGACCGGAGTTGAAGTCCGGCCAAAGTCCATGTTGACCAAAACTTGTTAAGTTGACCGGTTTTGTATTTTGATTAAAGTGTTAGTTCAAAATAAATCATTAATATTCTTTTATGATGATAAACAATAAGAATTTTAACAAAGATGATTTTGAACCGATGATGTTCCATTAGGACATTTATGACTGCGGTCTGTTCTAATTGGGAAATATTTTGTAAAATGATTTGATGAGGAAATAAGGGTGGCATATCAAAGAGAGATGTACCAACATATTAAGGAGATGTGTACCATGGGATAAGGGTGGCATATCAAGGAGATGTGTACCTTTGGATATAAGGGTGGCATTTGTATGTGTGATATGTGACATAGCTCTTACTATTATATGCTATAAGATTATTGTGATATGGAATCTTAATTTCTTTGTGATTTAAAGGTTTAGAATCAGAGTTCTTATTGGAAATCGTAGTCTGGATGTTATTGAGGAGTGGATAACAGGTTTATGGCCTGAAACTTTGAATAAACCTTGTTTTAATTGAAAAGGTTTAAAAGTGGCATCACATGAAACCTAATCGGTACAAACCTATTTGGGTTTGGATGTGTTTAAAAGCTGAGAGATTGGTTTTGGAATTGGAAAGGTATTGGTATTATATTTTACTTATTCATATATTGTGTTATATATATATGAGAAGTTGTTTAAATAAAGTTTTGGTGATTCTCACCCTGCAATGATATAAAAAGAGAACTCACTAGACCATCCGGTCTAACCCTCATTTTGTGATTTTAAATATGTATTGCAGGAGGTGCTAACGGTAAAGGAAATGGGAAAATGTGATACTTTCCTTTATATATATCTGCATAAAGATTTGTCTATGATGTGTATAGTTTTGATAAGATGAACGTTGAGTAGTACAAGTAATGTATTTTGAATTTTTGGTCTATGTATTCTGTATGATAGAATCTTGTACTATGGGACCTGAGTGATGTATAAACATGTATTTCTTATGTATGAAGTATGTGTTACATACAATGTATGGTATGGGGCGTACACTAATTCTCCCAACTATTTAAAGCCTTTTGACGGTTTGGTTTACATCAAATTAATTAGATCGGCACCTGATTATGTCGTTTGGTATATTGACATGATCTTTCATTGTTTTGTTTGATGGAATCATGAACATACAGATGGTTTACAAAAGGCAAAATCAGTCATTGTTTGTAACCAAGTTACCGGTGTGGAAGTTGGGGACGATTGCATGACCATTAGCCAGTCGTTTTAAGATGTGTTTGGGATCTTTTTTGGCGATTAACCCCAACATCAATTGTGAAACAATCTTCATGAGAGTGTGTTRATGGAAGTGCTACTAACTGATCAAGCATCAATTGTGAAACAATCTYCGTGGGTCAATGGGTGTGTGTTRATGGAAGTGCTACTAACTGATCAAGCATCAATTGTGAAACAATCTYCGTGGGTCAATGGGTGTGTGTTGATGGAAGTGCTACTAACTAATCTAGCTCAAAAAACCAAATGTCGACCATTGAGAAGTATTTGAATGAATAAAGAGCTAGAATTAATGCCTTTAATTTGCACTTGTGTAACATTGCAATTTCATTACATTATGTTATGAACGAATGTTTTTTGGTTCAATTTTTTTTGTTTTATCACATTGATTTTGAAGATGAAAATTAGCCGGAAACGGGAGCATTCACGACACATGCAACTTAGCAATGCCCTACCATCATAAACAAACAGAAAAGGTGTCGCAAAGGTTTTCGAAAAGTTTTATGCACGCGTTTATGGGGGAGGAGCACTAGAGTGAAGAGAGATTTTTTAATTTTGAAAAACATTAACGTCGAAAATCATTCATCGTAAAAACATCTAAGTTTTGTGTAGGTTAATTACTAGGATGCCATGCAAATATGTCTAAATGTCTTAAAAGATTGTTTTTCAATTATGTATCTAATGTAAAAGTGTTAAGTTGACGATCTAACAAATTTTTTATTACTCTTTAGAAAATAAACAAAAGTTGTAATTCTTTAAATTGAAAAGTTTGTAATCGGCCAAGTAAATAACAACAAACTGGGATGTAATTTGTTCTGCTTCATATTTAACTACAAAAATATGCTTCTAAAACCTATATTTTGGTTTACAAAAAGATTCTGCCAAAAAGTTAATTATAATACTTTCCCTTTTTTATAAAATTTTAATACATTCTCTTAATTATATAAAAATCATACTATATTTTCTTAATTGTAATATGTAAATATGTTATTCATATGAAACATATTCTGATACCAGTTTTACATATAATTTCCCAACACTTCCTTTTCCTTAATAAAACGTTTCAATTTTGAATATAATCATTTGTTCCTCATTAATGATCACGGCATACGAGTCATAAAAATTTAGCATGCGAACCACAAGGGTGATACCTGATTGGTTTGAGTCTGGCTCCAAAGATCAAAAATACCGGGAGGTCTCAGGTTCAAATCTAAGAAGGAATAAAAATCCCCTTGTGGCCACGGAGGTTCAAATGCGGTGACTCTGAGCTATGTGCAAAGCAGGTGGTCGCCTTGGGATTAGTCGGCTCGCATAGCGGGTTGGATATCCATGTTAATAAAAAAAAATAGCATGTGGGATTATTCGGTCGACTTTTGTGATGGATTTTAGGGTTTTGCGACGGGAGACCCATCACCTAAACTTCTCTAACTAAGAAACCATGGAAAGCATCATAGCCGAAACAATGGCCGGCTGTAAATCTCAGATTACAATGTGAAACTGGATGGTCCAATCAAAATACATTTCACTGATCTATCCAAATCCTAAATTCCCTATAAATATGCAAACCTCAATAACTGGAATCACATATCTCAGTGTTCACATATTTAATTATTAGTAAAGAAAAAACTAGAAACTTGAAGTCATGGCCAAGAACGCTTCCATGTTTGTGAAAA